TTAAAACTTTTAAATTATAAATAAATGATAAGTAAATCAAAAAATTAGTAGAAGTAAAATAGTCACTTCAGCTTAACATAAATGAAACATACAAGTTTAAACCAAAATGAAAAGAGTTTGGAATGAAAAACAGATCATATAGATTCATCCAACCACACATGGACAATTCGTTTAATTTACTGGCTTTTTTTTTTTTTTTTTTTTTTTTTTTTTTTTTTTTTTTTTTTTTTTTTTAATTTCTAATTGTGATTATAATATTATAAGAAAAAACTATGAAACAGTGGCCAATACAAATTGATTTTATCATAATTCTGTGATAAAAAAAATTTCTATAATTTATAATTTATGCTAAACGTTTGGTTCTAGTCCAGCAGGCAGTACCTCTATTCTATCTTTTTCTATTTTAATTCAAAGGAAGAATGGAGGTGTTTGACTAGGTTTTTGTAACATCCAATTTTTAATATCAAAAATATATTATAAAATTTAGGTAATAAATAAAAAAACTAATATCGATATAGTTAGCGAATCGTAACAATATATCTATCCATAGAAGGTGACCTACAATAACTTAAAACATCATTGCAAGCCTACCATACGCTTTTATTTTTTTATATATATTTCTTTTTGTTAGCCATAATACAATTTTATTAAATGGTATGTAAATTTTGGTAAAGCATTATATAAATCAACTAACAGATATGAGGTGTGTAGAAAAAAACAAACTAATTCAAACTCACTACTCAAATTTAAACCCACTTATTTAACTTGATATCCCGTTATAATTAGGTTGGATCGGTTCTAAATTTTAGTATCACATGTGGATCAGTCGGTTGTTGGATGACTATCCAAATCCAGTTCCAAACCAAATGATCAAATTGTTATGCAGTTATTATTTATTTGGATGTATCCGATTATCATCTAATTATCACCCAATTTCAATTGGATATATTCGATAATAATTCAATTGTCGTCTAAACGTTGGAAAACAATTTGTTAAAACACATGTCAAAATTCATTTTTTTTAACATTAGGGTTATATCAGCTTAACTGCTTTTCTACTAGTTCTTACTCACATTAAGAAATATCCGCCATTCCACATCATCAAAAAACCTTTAATTTTTATTTATTTTAAAATAAAAACACAAATTTCTAAAATAAAATAAAATTTTCATTAAACGAAATAAAATTACATTAATAAATCTGGAAATAAAAATTACATTAAAAACTTTAAAAACATAAACTAAGAATAAACTTACATTAAAATTACATTGAAACCATATTTTTCAAGTCGATAAGTAGAATTTATAATTTAAACATTCGAATTAAATTATTAATATATCAAAACACAGTAATTAATAAAAATATTATGAAAAAAATCCTAAATAAAAAAGACATGCATTGAAATTTGAATAACTAGAATCAAAATAAAAATATTAAATTAGATTGTTCTTCTCTCTCTCACACACACATTCACTCACCCACTCTCTTTTTCTCCCCCCCTATCCCCTCTCTCTCTCTCACTACAACTCACCACATCACAATGAAGAGATGGTGTTCCCCCCCATAAGTGATGCAACCAAGTCATCTTACGCATAAAAAACCCTTCTATTTCGTTTACTTCACATGAAGTCACATGTATAGAAAATTAATTTTCAAACCTTTGTATAGAAACTAATTTTCCATAGGGTTGACGATTATGAAACTAAATAAGTCAATTAATGCAAAAAGGCAATACACATCATGATGTTGTAGTGTTATTCAAACACTAGCTATCGAGCCCTCCAAGTCATCTCTTCTCCTTACTTCCCTTTCATTGTTGACCCCCACCACTCAATTTCATTTAACCGTTATCGTTTCCAATATTAAGAATCTCATCCTTGCTACTTTATAGATGGAGGAAAGGCAATACACATCATGGTCTGAACTCTTCAAAATCGACCACCATGCCTATCAAGTTATCAATCACATATTTACTCCTGACCCTCTAATGAAACCTTTAGAGGACACCACTTCGCATGCCAAGGAATCTTGGTCTTGTCTTAACGCCTTTGTTCTACAATGGATCTATGATACGATGTCTAACGATCTTCTCAATACCATTCTCGCTACTAATTCAATCACAAAACAAGGTTGTAAACATCTTCAAAATATCTTCCGAGAGAATAAAAAATCACACATAATTTATCTTGAGAATCAATTATTTAACATCCATGTCAAATGTTTTCTCAATGTTCCTTCTTGTTGTCATGAGTTAAAATATGCAAACCAACTTCCACTGTGGATACACCCATTTATGAACATCACATGATTCTTTAACTTATTGTCGGCGTAAATGAACAATATGATGGTGTCGTAACCTTGATCTAATTTCGACCCACTATCCCGTTCTCTGAATCCCAATCAAAACTGGTACTCAAAGAATATAACATCCTCAAAATATGCATAATTGAAAAGAATATTTTTTATTAAGAAATAAATAAAATAAAATAAAAAATGATTTAAAATACAATTAGTTTTATAATATAGTTGTATTGTTAATTAAAATGATTATTGAGGTCGTGAAATATAACTAATTAGAAAATTGATAAAATGGGTTAAAAGTGTCAACTTGCTTAGAAAATGGGTTGGACTAATTGGTTAATGTAGTGTGTTTGAATCGAATATTAAGAATGAAATCAAGAACAGAAAGCGTTAAGAACACAAATGTAAATAATTTTTGTTTGGTTCGATTATTGCGTCTGAACGAGTACACAAGAACACAAGAGAGTAAAGCCTAAATGCTACTCTCGACTCCTATAATTACCCTATTTATAGGGTGATACAGACGCATACAAAAAAATACATAAGGTATAAACATTGAGCTTTGATCTCTAAAATTGCCTTACATAATACATACATTCGAATTGCTTGACTTCGACATCTACATGACCTAGACCTAAACGTACATCAACACCTCACTATATACTTCGAACCTTACAATATCCCCCTTAGTGAGAAGTGTCGAGCTTATGCCATCATCGTTATGGTCTGGTGAAGTATCCGACGAACCTCCATGAAAGACCCCAACTTTCGTATTTTTGAAAAACCGAAACTTTCATAATTCACATTATCATTACTCCAAAACATGCTATTTGCATATTCATAAAAGCAATATTTTACATTGATATAAAGGATTTACAAACTATTGGATACAAACCTTTTATTACAAAGTGTTATATATATTACATAACTACCCATGATATTGTAATTTATACAAACATAAAAAAGTAGTACAAAAGTACTATTACAAACTATTCTACATCTTTCAATAGTATGTAAACATACTAGTTATTTATCACCTGCAATTGTTAAACATTGATAGGGTAAGCGGTGACGCTTAGTGAGTTCAAAAATAGATACAATATAATGTTATGCCATATATATATATACTTCAATGTGGCAAAAGCAAAGAGGAACAACAAGATGTATGTGAGATCATGTGACAAGCGTTCATATCAATCAAAGACATTATTCAAAGATATTCTTTTCAATTCTTGATATACATCAATAAAGCTTTGGCCCAAATGGCATAGAAGATATGCAATTTCTGATTAACATCTTGTTAGATTTCAGGCTTATAGTCCTGTATAACCATTTGCCAATGCCATAGAATAGAAGTCATTCTCTTACGGAGACATGCTCTGCATGGCCAGAGGCTACGTACCAGTACCAATATGAATCTAAGTCATTTCACTTATCACATCGTCAAAGGTATTACAATTGCTATAAACATAGTGAATAACACGAGAAAATAACTCAGAATAATAATACTGAAAAGCACATAGCACATATAACACATAACATACAATTGTTCCTATATATTGAACTCACCTTAAGTTAACCGGGGGTTAAAATAGTAATTTGGACGACACTTCGGCTTTAAATATGTCTTTTTATGTTGAAAACCGGGAGCTTAATTGAAAACCGGGCTCTGCGAAGGTAGGACTTCAAAACCGAAAAGATAAAATTTCCGGCCTTCTCGGGGTCTCGGGACGTGTTTCGGGTGCTAAAATTGATGCCGGGGCTTCGGGAAAAGTCAAAATAATGAAAATATGGATTTAGGGGTGAAAAATGGCAAATTTCCAAAGTTAGTTGGAAGATCTCGCAGGTCCTCCTATTTATAGGCGAGGGTTCGGCCGAGAACAAGGTAGATGGCAGCGAGGGGCTTGGTGGCAGCAGCGGAGCGAAGCATGCGGTGGTCTTGGATTGGCCGAGCCATCGGTGCGAGAGGGTTGCGACACGCGTTGCCAGCTGTTCGGATGACTAAGCTGCTTCGGATACGGGGCGAGATCCGGACGAGGGTGACGCAGCTGCTTCGTAGGTCTCCGGTTTGGGCCACGTCTCCGGTGATGCACCTGCTTCGTGCGAGGTGACGTGACCGGACACTATTCATGCAAATTTCTTCGGTTTTCAGGCCCGAACTTCTAAAATCCATAACTTTCGCATAAGAGCTTCGTTTTTGACGTTCTTTATATGCACGCGTAGCTAAAATTATGCTCTACAACTTTCGTTTAGACTTTGTCAGCTAATTTTGACTTTATTTTTAATATTATTATTTTTAACAGACCAGGACAGAAAAATTCGTTAAAAATTCATAACTTTTTCATCCGACATCCGTTTTCGTCAGACTTTTTACTGTTGTACTACATATGACGAGACTTTCGATTCTCGTTTAGGATGTATCGGTAAAATATCGCTCGATCTAAAATTCGAGTTTTTAGCTATCTACTGCTAAGTTGAAACTTCGAAAAATCATAACTTCCTTATACGAAGTCAGATTTTGGCGTTCTTTTTATCGAATTTTTGGGTTTAACGAATACTACAACTTTCATTTAGATTTCTAAGGCTA